TCCTGTTCTCAAAGCTCGGATTTTGGGATCGGATAGTCAGTTGAAGACATGTGTCACACTTTCATGCTGTCGCCTTGCAAAGCTTATGCACCAATAGTGGCCGTGGTGCGACATTGCACTCCGGCAAGCAACCTCTTCGTGGCTTTCTTTCGCCGCGCGATACACACAGACCCATAAACATGCTGTTGCTCAAAGGTAGGCTTTCCATATCCTTTTAGGCTCTGTGTCATCAGCACAGCTTGGGTCTGTTAATGAGGATTCGCATGGTTCTGCAAGTATGTTTCTTTGGACGAGTAAGAATGTTGCAGACAGACTTTGTTTTGTTAGAGCCTTGTTTTGACGACTTAGTCTTTAGACTGTAGCTGCTAGATTGATGCCTGAAATCCATTACTTGACGGCTCAATCTTAATCTCTCCCGCGACGTCTCTTTGCTCAAAGGATGTATTTGGGATCGGATGGTCAGCTGAATACATGTATCACACTCTCATGCTTTCGCCAGCGACCTCTTCGTAGCGTTCTCTTGCCACACGATACCCGCAGACCCAGAAGCATGCTAATGCTCAAAGGCCCCGTGTCATCGGCGCAGCTTGGGTCTGTTAATGAGGATTCGCGTGGTTCTGCAAGCATGTTTCTGGGACGAGAACGAATTTTGCAGACAAATGTTCTGCAACTTTCGTGTCTTGTTCCTGACTTAGTATTTTGACTTTAGCTGCTAGATTGATTTCCGAAATCTATCCCTTGATGGAAGAAACCTGAACCGGTCCTGCGACGTCTCTTTGCTCAAAGGATGGATTTTGGGATCGGCTGGTCAGCTGAAGACAAGTATCAAACTTTCATGCTGTCGCCTTGCAAAGCTTATGCACCAATAGTGGCCATAGTGCGACTTTGCACTCTGGCGAGCGACCTCTTCGCGGCGTTCTTTCGCCACACGATACCGGCAGATCCAGAACCATGCTGTTGCTCAACGCTCCGTGTCATCGGCGCAGCCTGGGTCTGTTAAAGAGGATTCGCACGGTTCGGCAAGCATATTCTATTGGACCAGGAAGAATGTTGCTGTCATCATTGTTGTTGCTGCTGCCATTCTTTTTTTAGTCCGCAGCTTCCGCGGCAGCCTAATCAATCGACGTACTTAAACTCTACTTGGGCCAGGGCGACTTAAAAGATATATGGATAACAGGAATAGCTGTGTCATCAACAGGCTTAACGGGGTGCTAGGTTCTCGGTGTACTTATGAAGTACCTCTGACCCTGCATGCGGAGATACGCTGAACAGGGCCTCGCGCTCATTGGCCTAGAGAGACACGACTCTGTGCAGAAAGCATGATCGAGTCATTTGCACGACACTAGCCGGCGCCAGAGTGAAGGCTGACGGCTGTGCATCCTCTTTTTTTGTGTCGCTTGCAGCTGAAGGCGTGCGGTTGACACTGCAGAACTGAAGGAGAGCCGCTTAGCAGCTGCATTAGTTGCCACCCAGGCTGCTTGCTTGGGGAAGTGGCAGGAATGCCTTCAGGCTGTGGGCTTTCCCAGACAGGATTACTTGGCTATCCAAAAACCCAGGCAGCACAGGTAAAGCCCACATCCCTCTGCACCAGTTGTCCAGATTGCCGCCATTTTGTATGACTACTTGACTACTTCTGGATCCGAGGGCATTTACACTTTGCGGATGACATGTGCCAACACGCTGATGGCAACTTCCCGTTGACGATCTCAGTTTCAGGTTCGGGTGTTGCCTCTGCGGCTCATAGTCGCGGCCTTGGGGCGTGATACGGAAAAGTTGTTAAATGGTAATGTGGTCTCGAGGGTGGTGTGCAGAAGAGTGCTACCGCCTGTGCCAGACTCAGGAGTGCAAACGCTCCGGATGCAAGTTGGAGCTTGCTTGATGGGACGACTCCATCTTCATTACTGTTTGCGCGGCCCCTACCGCGTGAGCCTCAGACTTCACTTCCCAGACAGGTTTCTCACGTAGTTTTGACACAGGCATGTGAGCTGCGGAGCGGCAAGATGAGGTCCCCCCGTCCAAACGACTTACTCGAGCGATTAGTTCACGAGCCCATGTGCTTTCTGGTTTTATCTTGTCACAGGCCACTCTGAAGCTGCCCAAGTAGAACGCCGTCCTAGACGATGCCTCGAAGGAGCCTTGCGGGGGAGCTTTGCAGGCATTCGTGCTTATCACGGACTTTCGACTTGAGGCCGACCTCATGAGATGCCAGCGCAAAGCCGCATGTGATGCCCGAAGATATTGCTGTGACTCTCCCTCCTTGAAGAGGCAATCAAAGCGATTCGCTACGGCGGCTAGTATCTAATCTATTTGGTGCATGGGCTGTATGCCGCCGTACCATGACCGCTTTCGAATGCCAGATGCACAGTTCCTGCGGCATGCTGCATGTTCGGGGATTCAGCTGGCAAATCGGTCCCAAGAGCCGGCTCCCTGTCAGAGGGCCGTGGCTCGGAAGGAGCGGCTCGAAAGAGGTCACGCTGCAATTCAAGCGCTTGGCCATCACTCATGTGTCGAAAATTCCCGAGCAGTTCTCATCCCAGTGCCCAAAGCCATTCGGATCATAGTATTTGGAACCTCAAGCCCCGTATTGATTTACACGGCTTGGGCATTTGCATCTTTAAGGATTTTAACCGCTGTTCACTCTGCGCTGTGGCCAAGATGGCAGCTTTGGGTTCAAGTCGGGTTTGGGGTTGCGTTCCGGCATCACCCAGGCTATGTCAAGGTGAGATGTGGTTTGCGCAGGCATCGAGCATTTCATTCCATTGCTATAATGTCCACTACCTGTCAGAGAGCAATCAGCATGCCAGTTCTGTGATTGTAATGCAACCTGCTCTGGACATTGGTTGCATATGATGTTTTATTCGCGCAGCAGTTGTTATTGGTTCTGGTGACTGCTGATGCTGGTGCTGATGCTGGAGCTGGTGCTCTCGCTGCTGCTGCTGGGGTGGTGGTGGAGGAGGTGGTTGTGGTGGTGGCGGTGGCGGTGGCGGTGGCGGCGGCGGTGGCGCTGGCAGTGGCGGTGGCGGCGGCGGCGGCGGCGGCGGTGGTGGTGGTGGTGGTCATCGTCGTCGTTGTTATTGCTGCTGTGTCTTTGAGATGCTTGCATATTATGTGACACCTTGCGGGGCGACGGGCTTGTGGTGAAGAGCTCTGCAGTGGTTCTCCAAGTCCCGGCTCAGATGACAACTTGAGCAGCGGATTTTTTACGGTAGATCAATTACAATAAGTGTATGCAGCACAGAAACTCAGCAAATCATGTTCCGAAAACGAGGTTTTCCTGTGCGNNTGCGCGCGGAAGGACGCGGAAGCTCTGCGGAAGCATTTCTTTGTGGAAGGGCGTGCGCAAGCTCAAGTTTTCAGAAACCCTGGCTCTCAACATGCAAGTCGAGCCATCTGTGCTTCATCCCAACCATAAGTCCTAGAGTTCAGTCCTGTGCCACAACCTTGGAGCCCTGAACGAAGCCACTACAAAGGCTTTCAGGAGCATGTCTTCTTGGGACCATTCATGCAAGTTATCCGAAAAGCATCTCCGGGCACGCGATCTTCGCGGAAGCTCTGCGGAAGGTCCGCGGAAGCCCGAAATGCAACACAGGATCCATACCCCATACCTTTGCTTCCGAAATCCTTTTTCTCACTTCTATGGAAAAGCCCGAATGAGCTCCTGTTAGTGTGGCCGCGTGTAGCTGCCGCATCGCAACTTCACTCCATTGTGGCCGCGTGTAGCATCCAAATCCCGGCGTGATCTCCATAAGAATCTTTGCGTAAACGTTGCCGCGTTTCTGAAGACATGTCATCCGCCAGCTGGAATCCTTTGTATGTGTACTCCCAATATTATATAATCCGTGCTGATCCTGTAATTTGCTTCTACCCAAGAGAGAGGAGTCTTTGCAGTAGTCTTCGAAGACCTTTTGCGGAAGCAAATCCCGAAATCCAGCCGCAAAACCTTCGCGGAAGCAGCCGCGGAAGGCGGAAGCAAATAAGACTACAAGCGCTACTCGCGGAAAGTACACGCGGACGGCATTCGCGGAAGCCGTAGCTTCTGTAATAGAATTTGAGCAGAAGAAAAACCACCGCTCACTTGTCAAAATTTCCTATCACGTGCTTCTGAATCCGGATCCCTGTGTTCAACGGACCCACTATTCGATAAGCCACGGATTGGCAGCTTGCAGGATTTTGACGAGTTCAGCTGCTTGTGTTCTGTATGCCACATCTGTTTCCTGCTTATGTTAGTGTATGGTGCATCTTCCATGAAAGGTAGGACAACAGAGTCCACGCAGGAGTTGGGGTCAGGGAAGTTTTCGGTGAGTGTATCTTAGCCCACTGCTGCTGAAGGAAGACTTGGGAGAGTGGTGATGCCAGGGCTGCGGTTTCGGCGTTGATCTGGTAGTCTGAGGTATGTTGCAAGTTTACCATGCGGCCTTTACCAAGCCAGCATGGAACCCCGCTCGAAATGACACTGGTCGTTAGTCTGCGTAGGCTGAGGAAGGGTACATTAAGTCCATTAGGCTTGCAACCGCGGCGTGCTGTGTTCAAAGAGTCTGCGCTCTGTACCGCAAAGTGTGTTGGTACCGCATGTAGGAAGACCGGGTCTTGTGCCTGAATGCTTCTTCACAACCACGGGGGGGAGTGGGGGTGCCAAGATTCGCTTTAGTGCCAGGCGCTTATTTGGACCCAATGCCCATATTCCTGTTGTATTCCTGTTGGCATGCTTTCTGCTGCAAAATCACAAGGCTCAACAGAATGGACAGTCCATGACGTCCTACTTTTTAATTCGCTGCAGCTTGAAGCATACTGTATCATGCTTGCAACAGAGAGGTGCTCGACACCTAGAACCCTACCCATAACACCCATCCCCAAACTACACCTTCCAGCTAGCAGCATTCTGCCGTGGAAAATGTAGATGAAGATCGTAGCTCATTGCAAAGACCCTCCAACTACCTCCGGTTGCGGCCTGGTACCCACTCTTAGGGACCCTTTTGCCCCCTCTTTCTGAGCATAGCAGCATGGAGCCCTTCATGGACTTGGATTCGGACGGAGAAGTCCAGGATGAGGCCCTCAAATGAGAGCTTGTGCAGGTAACCGTGACCTACTTGTTGTTTTGAGATTTCAATGCTGCCCACATTAGAGGAATTTGGGAGCTTATGGTTGGGTAGTAAGTATAGTCACAAGTAGGTTAAAGTTAACCACAAACCTCCGAGTACCTTCAAAGAATCCCCTGTGTTTTTTTGAGCGAGGTTAGATCGCTTCATACCCTGCTTCCAAATTCGATTATGATCTTGACGCAACTGGTTCCAGAGTGTCTCCGGGACTGCCTGATCTAAGTCGTCCATACAGGTCATTCTAAAGCTAGTTTCTAGCAAAAGCACTAACTAACCGACAGTGATCGTGATGACAACTGGTGACAGCACGAAAAGGACAGTACATCCAGCAGATCTCAGACCAACCGCATCAACACACTACGGTCAGACTCCACTGGCATTTGAGTGCAGCACGCATCTGTCATGATTATGATAACCCCCAAGCCCTCAACTTAATTTGGTCCACACGTGTCAGGGCTTGGAAGAAGGCGAAGTCCTCGAGGAGGGCGAAGTTGATGAGGCCAGATTTGTATTTTAGAAGCCTCAGCACTGGCCATTCTTCGTGATCGTCCCCATCAGCTTTTAGGTACACCCTCCAAGCCGCCATTCGTATTGAGGGCCCCTACATTCAAACTTGCAGCCTCAAGAGCATATTCAGGAGCATATGGGTGGATGTCAAAATTATGGTCCCTTTTTGGGTCCCTATTATAATACGGCACCTAATACCCAAAAAGGGACCATAATTTTGACGACCACACATATCATGTTGTAGGAGCAGGTTTCATCTAAACCTATCGGGGAAATGGGTTCCTTCAATTTTTGGGGTCTTCAAGGCCTTTTGGTTGTGGGGGGCGCCAGTTTAAATCTCCATCTCTTGTAGAGCTTCCAAGCCCAGGCTAGAGGGTCTGGGGCTGTTCTGGGAGTTTTGAGATTGGGTCCTTTGGAATGCTCTCCTTGGTATGGAGTATACGGACCATTAAATGGATTAGGGTCCCCAGGCTTCTGTACTACAAGGGGAGCGCTCCCAACATCCTACACTCTGCAGCTGAAAGTCTCAGATCATCATGTTTGGTGTTGGCCTGGAAACCTGTAAGCACTCTTACCCCGCTCACCGGGTAAAGTCTCGCTCTCGATTGCTCCGGGGCCTGGTGTCTAAAACATCAACCATGTAAGCTCCGGGGGTCGGGATTCAAGGCCTTACTGTTCAGGTTCAGGTGTAGGGCGATGCTGGGCACTTGGCTGCTTGGGTCTTTCCAACACTACTTACACCAAGAGTTTTTTTTTCTTTCGGGGGGGATGCGCGCACTCTGCTACCTGGTGCCGAATGGGGAATGAGGGAAACATGGAAAGTACCAAATTCATGTAGGCTTGAGGGTCAAGGCTAGGGAAGGAGAGCATGGATCCCAATAATACTAGTCTCGATGGAATCCCCTGTCATACCCTGGATCCAAAACCCTAAGTCCTTCATCCTTCTAATCCAGGAGGTCTTGCCGGGCGGAGGAGAAGTGGCAAAGCCATCTGCCTGTGAAAGCGAGGCCTTAGGCCTCCCAGCACATTTATTGCAATCCAGGTTTCTACATGGTTCAGGGGCTTGGAGTTTACCGGTTTAGAGTTTGAAGGTTTAGGGTGTAGGGACTCAGGAAGGTTGAGGGTTGAGGGGAATCAAACGCCAAGTACCCAGTACAATATTTCTGGCCTCTTGCTGGCATCCCAGGCTTCTGGTTAACAGTACTTTGGCGGGCGGCTGCTCTTTGTGGATGTACTCGATGAGAAGGGGAACTTGGTCATCCAAACCAGAATTGGGTTTCACTTCTTGTCATCTGCTAGCTATGGGGTCTTGATTCAGGGCAACCAAAACCTTCGTTCATAAAGCCTACAACCCTGACTCCTATAGCTCCCTATCATACGCCGCAAACGTTCCGTCATTGCTTTTGCCAGGAGAGCAGGTTAAGTATGAACCATCCTGTAATCTAGGCCCAAGAAAAGTATGGAAATTCCAGGAACAGCTTTGCCTAGTTTCCCCTGTAGCCACTTAGCTCTCAACCTTGAATACTGAATCTTAACCTGCGCCCTGAAGCCCCAACGCTTGCCCAAGCTGCTGGTGCTTGAGACCTCCACGCTTCATGTTGGGGCCCAAACTGTTCACATTCCTTAGCCAAGAACTTACTGCTGGCTAGAAGAAGAACGGAGGAAAGGATCTTCGCAGAAGTCCCTGTGTGCTCCCTCATAGCATTTCTTTTATTTCACTTCCTCATTCCCTAGTCATTGTACGTTCTCTAAACACTACGCCGTACACCGTACATCCTACATACTAAGGTAGGTGCCAGCCGCTGTTCCTTTGCTTCGTGCCCTACTCCTACTCACGACCAGTAGTAAGTAGTACATCTTGACTGGAAATTTCTTCCTAGATTTGACTGGATCTGGTGCGTTTTGGCTTTGAATAATGTGCGTTTCGTAAAGAATGACGGAATGGGATACAGTAAATTCGAACACCACTTTGCAACTGATGAACAAAGTCCTGCATCATCCCAGATGCCTGAACCAGAAGATAACATGCTGGTCTCTGGGTCATGCAGGGCTGTGTCCATTAACCGCTGAGGTGACTGGTTGTTATGTCGGTAGTCTCCTGCAGACTTGCTTGTGATGAAGGGGCAGCGGGGCTCCTATATGATAATTTCCCAAAATAATGGAACCCCAATATAGACCCAACAATACTATAGTCCTTATTATGGGGAGACCCAAAAAGGGTACCCCTAACTTAGGGAAACCCCCATATATGGATTGCTACAGGGAAACACCTCCCCGCGCCCCACAAGCTTAAACACGTAGCTTGAGAAAATCTGAACCCTAAGCCCTAACCCCTCTGCACTAAACCCTAAACCCAAAACACGAGGCCATCAACATTATTACCAAAAACGAAATCCTATTTTCAAAGCCCCAAATAAGCAGACCTAAAGCAGGCACACCGTTTGCAGCCAGCAAGAGGGAGGCCATGGAGGAGGCCCTGGGCAGGGTTTAGGGATTCAAGAGCAAAGGTTTGTGTCTCAGGGTGTGGATTTTAGTCAGGTTTAGAGTTAGGGCCCAGACGTTGGCTTAGGTTTCAGGACTTAGGGTTTGCATATAACCCAGGGGGGGCTGAGAGATGGGTTTGGGCATGCGTTGCATTCAATTTGCCAGGAACTGGGCTTGAGCTTACCTACCGATCAAATGATTTTCCAGGTGGATAGTTTGTCTGAGACCCACCTGGTAACTCCGCATCTAAAATTTTCTCTTGATGGCTGACATGGCTTGGCTTTGCGGGTCCTGGCGTCCTGTGGGGGTACGTGGCGGTTCCAAAAGGCAAGGGACCTTTTTTGCTTTCGCTAGAAAGTCCTTGTCAGACGATTCCCCCCACATGCAGCAGGACACGGATACAGAGTCAGAGGACGACGATGGAGAGGTTGGAGTTGCAAACATGCAATCCAGAGGGTCTCTATGTAAGGGCCCCCCGTGTGAAGAAACTAGCAGGTAGAGGAGGCCGAAGACAGGGAAGCCAAAAGTGAAGATCCTGAGGTTCAGTCTGCCATAATGGATGCCAAGTCCGAGGATGGCGGGACAGTGATGGAGAAGGCAGAGGAAGCTGCAAGCGACGAGGCTTAGGAGCTGGTTGGTACTGTGGACCGGTGCATGTTGTGGCCAAGTATGTTTCAAATCGTCGTAGCTTGCTACGTATACACGAAGGTTCCTGCATGTAGCTCATTGCAGCGATGCAATTTCAAGAGAGCGAGATACTTCAGGCTAAGAATCGCCGAGCCAATCCGCCGGTTTCCTTTTGGACAGGAGAAGCCAACTCCAAACAAGGAGCCTGATGCCAAGGATGAAGGAAGCAAAGCTGAAGATACTGAAAGTGGAGGTATTGAAAGCTACCGGGAGCCCGAGGCCAAATCTCTGAAGTTCACTGATTCTGGGGTCTAGCCCTACTTCCCAGATCCATAGGGTCACCAAGGGGCCCTCCCATGTTCAAAACCTCCCCATTTAGTTCAGCCAAGGCCTTCACAAATCCGACCTTGAACCCCAAGCCGTATAAATCCCATACTATACCCAAAACCCTGAACAATCCCTGAACTGCTGCAAGTTGGATCCCTTTCACATTCCCTGACGCTGAAGGGTTTGCTCTATGCCTATTACAGTCTTTTCTTGCCACATCACGACATCAGTATTGAAAACATACTCTACGAAACCTCGCTCATTTGTCCATGTACCGTTACAATGAAAACTGCAGGTTTGCGCAGACTCACCCACAGAGTTGGCAGAGGAGGATGAGAACATTAAAGAGGTAAAGGAAGAGGTGGCTTCGCCACAGAAGGCTCTCCTCTGTTTGCCAAGTGGGATGTGGGTCGAATCTTACATTTCAACTTCATCATATTTCGAGCATGCACAAATACATATGTGTACATACACATAGACATAGATGGGCCACTTCAACAAGTATTCAATGCTAGGGGGGGTCCTTGCGCGCCGCTCTCCAAATGTGCAGACGCCTGTTTTGTGTATGATCTGCTGTGTCGGGCCGCTTTCCAGGTCCAAGTTAACAACTCAAATTTTGTGTTGCAACAGACTTAGTAGCTGGGCGGCTAACCTTTTAATCTTTTCTGAGGTAAATTCATTACACAGATATGTAGATTTTCTCTATATATATATATCGGTATAGTGCGTTTAAGAGCTTTGCGTGGGCTTTCGGTGCAGATTAGAACACGGACGTTATTATGGTTTGGGCATGGATGCTCTGTGAACCGAATGCAATTGGAACACGGACGTTATTATGGTTTGGGCATGGATGCTGTGGGAAACGCATGCAATTAGAGCACGGATGTTATTATAGCTTGGGCATGGATGCCGTTGGCATGGTTATGTGAGCATGTAGTAGGTCTAAGCAGCCTGAAAAAACCAGCTCTTAAATGCACTATGCCCATATATGTGTATATATATGTATGTATGTTCAGGGTTTCGGATCGAGCCGGGGGAAAGCCCTTGGCATAGCCAAAGCCCCAGACCAGTAGGTCGCCCTAGGCTTCAGCCATCAGGTCTCCTGGCTGGCATCGACAGCTAAGGCGGAAACGCTGCAGGGCCCGGAAGCGGATTCATAAACGCCGCTCCTTTGGTCAGGTGCCTTTCTCTAGAGATCTACACTTGCTTGCTCAGCATCACAGCCTGCCTCGGTACCGTGAGCTTCAGTCATCAATGGGTAAACCATGGCGAGATGGCAAGGGCAAGCAGTCTTCACAATCACAGTCGCACTCTCCCTATGCAGTTCAGTATTGGCAAGGAGCATGGAAGGGCAGGCAAGGGAAATCACAGAGTACAGCCCCATGGAAGGCGCAGCAAGAAGAAGGTCGTTGGCAGTGGAAGGCTGCGACAAACAGTGGCAGCCAGCCTACAAATTTCTCAATACGATCGGCAAGACCCCCAGATGGCTGTGATTGCAGAGAAGAAAACGGAGGAACCAAGCACTGTCCAGGTGATGCAGAAGGCTGTCTCCACAGCTCGCAAGGCGGAGGCGAAGCGACGAAAACTGCAGGAAGAACTGGACAGCAAACGAAGGTGCTGGATGGGCTTCCAGCAGGAGCTCAAGGCCACGTTCTTGAAAGAGCAGCAGAGATTCCAGGCCGATGTATGCAAGTTGCAAGAGGAGATCAAAGAGGCCAAGATGCAGGAAGCACTGTCGAAGCAGCAGTTGATGACACAAGGCGATGGCGGTATGAGCGACATCTTCCCTGGAATGGACTGCGATATGGATGTGGACAAAGCCCCTGCAAATGCTGGCAATCAGGGACGGAGCTCTTCGCTTGGGACGGACAACACTCCCCATGGCCTGCGAGGTGCTGTGAGCAATGGCAAAGGACCCAGTACAATGCAGAAGGAGGAGCACATCTTGTCGTCTCTTCCTGGGAGCCCTGGCGTCATGGAGGATGCCGAGCTTCAAAGCTTGCTGCAGGCGCATGTTCGATGTGGACACAAAGCAGTTGGCAGTGCGACTGTGGACCAGCCTGGCTTGCAGACTACCAAGCATACCCAGTACGGATTGCAGGATCCAGTGCTGGTCCAGCGGGCTGCTGCGGATGCAGAGAGTACTGGGAAGCTGATTGCAGATACAAAGGGCACAGTTGGGGCTCCTTTGGCCCAGCAGGATCCTTATCAATCTGCAGGACATACACCATCCGCTCCAGCATACAACAGAGCGCCACAGGAGCACACCGCTGTTCTGCCTGGCGCTGCCCTCCATGGCACTCCTTGGCAACCATCTACACCTCAAGTGATCCGAAGGACCCCTGGCTCCAAGGACTCTTCTGGCAGGAAATCTATCAAGCAGGTGAACAAGACACCGGTTCAGACCTGTGTTGCCAAGGGCCCGTCCTTGGCCGACAAGCTTGCCATGCGCAGATCTCAAGCAGAGCAGCTCCAGTTTGCAGCTGCAGATGTGGGCGTTGGAGCCTCCACCCCACCAACTTGCCAGTTCGGAGACAGCCAAGTACTTGAGAGAAATGAGGCCAGTGGATCTCCCGCAACAGTTCTTGATCTACGATGACGAGGACTCGGCGGGCGACATATCAGATGCAGATCCAGAGTTTCTGGAATGGGCTGCCAAGCAAACTGCAGGGACAAGCGACTTGCAGGAGATGGAGTAGATCCCAATGCGGCTCTCGACACAGGGATGCTTCGCTTCGACTGTGTCTTTGGGGTTTTCTACAATGTTGGTTGGCTTTCCTTGACTGCTGCTGCCGTAAGTGCAGGGCTTGAAGGTGTGCTGACTTCAATCATTGCCATTTTCGTTCCTAGTTTACAAGCTGCTGAAGTTGGGGTTGCTTTGGCTAATGCTTATAGTTTCCTTGGGATGGTTCGCCCTCGGTGCCCTGGGCCTTTTTCGATGGCTCTGGACATGCGTGGCTTCTGTTGAGATGGGATGGGGCCCTTAAGTGCCCTGGACCTCTTTCGAGAAGGCAGCGCTGACGCCAATGTTCATCTTTCAGCTATGCTTGTCAGCAATTTCATCCAGCCTGCTTCACTGCTCAACTGGGATTTTTTCCTTCTGGCTGATCTGTGCCTGAGCACTGGATTCTTCTTTCGGCTTGACGCTACCTGTACAATTCCTGATGGACCTCCCCTACAGTTGGCTGAACAGGTTTATGTTCTTCACCGGCAAATTCTGCTGCTGACTGCGGGGTTCTTCGGGAATCTATTCGACGCTTTTGCAGTTCCTTTTTCAACTTATGTGCAAGGGCTTGTTTCAGGCCTGTTCCATCATGGCGGATTGACTACTTATGTAGCCGTTTCATTGTGCAGTCATTTGGGTGGTTGCATGGCACTATGGAAAAGCTTTGTTGCTTACACCTGCAAATTATGGGATTCCATGCAACTTGATGCTGCCCTGTCTGTACATGATTCTGACAATGGTTGGCTTTCAGTCATGCTACTTTCCAACTACGCTCAGGAGCAACGGGGGGGCTGCGCAACATTGTGTGGTCTCGTGCCGACGGAGCTCCCCCCCTGTCCTTGCGTGTCTCTGTGCAACTTGGGGGTATTCGCAGACCCTTCCCATGAATGGTCTTTGTTTCAGCCGCTTGCCCAGGATTCCTGCCATGACTGCTGGGTCTGGGTCTTCACAGTGCATGAAAAGCTAAACTCCTGGTGGAATGGCTTGCTGAGTTCAGCACTTCAGTGGTTTATTTCAACTATGCTGTGGTGCGGTGAGATATCTGCAGCCTTTTTCAGAACGCTTTGGTTGGTCATGCTTGTGTATCAGGGAAGACTTGCAGCATTTGCCGTGAAACTCAGGGGAGGCATTGGCAATTTCGACCCACTGATTTTGTTCCTGCGGCGCTTTCTTAGCGGGGCTTGCTGGTCTTGTGGCAAACCAATTGCACAGTTCTCACCGAGACAAAACGACATATGCAAGGGCCCGCCCAGGCTCCAACGGAAGAGGATCGGCTTTGGTTTCTCATGGGACCTCCTCCTCTTTCTCTTGATAATTGCCTCCCTCTTTGGGGAGGCCAGCGCTGGCAATGGCAGGTTTGATGGCCAGGACCCCACTGGCTTCAGGGCCACTCGCCGGGCAAGAAAACGCTGTGGCAGTCTTGTCCATCTTCGACATGTGGCGAGACATTTAGACTCTCCAACCACCACGGACTCTGAGTCGGAGGGGCCTGGCCGTACCTCCTACTTTCGTATCTTTGGTGTTGGCCTCTGGTCAGAAGTGATGATCTGTGAATTTCGAGCTGGTGCAGGGATCCGCGCAGTTCTGGATATCTTGGAGGTTGATTCTGATGTGGCGCGTTTAAGTTCTCCAGGGCACCTTGCTGAAGTTCGTGGTGTTCCTTTACATGACTTTGTGGCTGCCGTATGGGTTCCAAACTGGACACAATATACCCCTGGTGCTGTCCTATTGATTGATCCCTCGCTTTTGGGGGAGGGACCCATTTGCGATCTGGTATCCATTTCGCTACATCTGTTTGGAGCACCTTGCTGAGCTGCTTGCAGAAGTCTGGGAGGATGACATTTTCACCTTTTCACTGTATCATTCTCAGCGACCCCTTTCTGAGAATTGCATGTTCCTTGCGCGCGATGGAGTGACTATTTGCCTTCAGCGTGACCCATTTCCTCAATTTGCGTTCCCTAACGAGTTCGAGGCATACGATACATACCCTCACTGGGGCAGGGCTGTGCTCGAGCAGGAGGAGTTGCCTGATCTCGCTTGGGATATCATGCGCATCCAGCTTACGCACGATACTGACACCAATCTGATCTCCGTTGGGGGACCTGGCCTCGACTGGCAAACCTTGTGGACAGTGGCGCACCGATTTGCGACTGGTCAGGGAACTGTAAGGCTACATGTAGCTAGTGAGATGCCTGCCAGACTTACATTTTGTGGTGCCCCAATCCACCAAATGGTTTTCTGTGCAGCAGACAGGCCAGCCAGGGATGAGATGGTTGTGTTCCTCAACTTGCGGGGGATTGGACAGGATGGCAGAGCCATTATCCTTGAGAACAGGCGATTTGCTGATGATGAGCTGGCGGTTGCCTTGGGGATCAATGTCGCGGATGTCCCTGGCTTCAGTATCCTTTGCTCCGGTGGGCAGAGGCATGGTCACCATAGAACGTTCCAAAATGGGGATGTCATCAGTCCCCGTTATGTTCCTGATGCAGACTTGGCGGCCTCTGAGTCTTCTGAATCTGAGCGATCTCGTCCCAGCAGTAGCGACGATGGGAATGATCATGATATCAGACACGCTTCTGATCATGAGTCTCCCCCAGATTGCTGCCGACATCAAGTCGACTCGCAGGAGCCAC